GAAGGGAGGAGGGGAGAAGGAGAAGGAGAGGGAAGAGGGGGAAGAGGAAGAGAAGGAGTGAGAGGAGGGGGAAGAGTGGGAAGAGAGAGAGGAGGACAGTAGGATGGGGAGGAGGGGAAGGGACAGCTGCTGAGTGCCCCTCACTGAGACCCACACCCCTGCTGTGTTGAATTAGCTCCATTGCTGCTTTCAGCCTGAAATGTGTTCCAGGTTGTGGCCTCAACAACCTTAGACCAGGTTTCTTGTTAGCATCCTCCACTGACCTTCTTCCTGGCCATCCACACAGGGGGCAGCCCCAGGGACAAGCTGCCCAGCCAGCCTCACTGTGCCTCCCTGTCACTGTGCCTCCATTCCCTATCCCGTGATGGGGGTGGCCTGTCAGGTGGGTGTCTCTTGACCTCACTGCAACCATGCACAGGCCCATCTGCCACAGTCAAGCACAGCTGAGCAATGGTCCCAAACATGTACAAAGTGTCACCCGAGACACTGCTGGCTCCCTGTCCTTGCACAAGGCCTCACCTAGGCATGTTTTCCCACGCCCTCTAGAACCAGGCTTTCCACGGCTGGGCTTCCATCAACACGAAGCAACGTGGCCAGTGAGGCCCATCTGCTCCTGCCCCTTTCACCATCTTCCTCTTAGTCTTACCCTGGTGCCCTCACATGGACCTCCCATACTCCTTACACACATGCTGCATTCCGTCTGGGGCCTGCGCCCCTGCTGCAGCTCCCTGGAGGCCGATGACCCCCGCCAGCCCTCACTGCCCACAGCCTTCCTGACGGGGCAGTGGGAACCTGGTTTTGGACGTTGCCCCATGCCTGAAACCAGAATATGCCGCTAGAAAGCAGGGCTGAACCTCTTCCCAGTGTGCCCCATGCTGTCCCTGCAGAACCAGCACCTCACATTGCTGGTGTCACCGTTCACACGCACACGCTCTCCGGTGGCATTCTCCCCCCGCCCGGGCTCCCAGCCATGGCTGGGCTGGAAAGGTCCCTGTTAGAAATGGTGTGTGTGTTGGAGTTCTGGCACACACTGCAGGGTGGCTAAGGTGTGAGCCGTCCCCTTGGGCTCTCATGTTTGGACCCTCTGCCCCAGGTCTGTTTCCTGAGGGCTGCAGAGCTTTTAAGAGGTGTCTGAGTCCTGTCTGCTCTCCGCCTCCCAATCACAGATCTGATATGACAGCTCGCCTTGTGCTTCTATAAACCTGAGCGGTCTCTTCACGTTCCTGTCACCAGGCCTTCCCCACCGTGACGGACAGAACCCTCAGACCAGAGCCACACATCAATTTCTCCATCCTTAGGCTTCCAGGGACCAAGCAAACCGTCCTCTGGAGAATGAAATTGCTCTTTGTCTTGAACTAATAGCCCTAAGGAAACCATAAGGGAGCAATGGTGGCGGCCATATTTCATCCAACTCTATGGTTAGTTGCGTACCCGCCACAGTCACTGAAGGAGCGTGACAATTGCATGTTCAGCCTTGGCACCCAGATAACCTGGCTCTCAATGGCTGCTTTGTCCCTGTTGCTGGGACTTCAATGGCCCCAGCGGTGACCTTATCCAAGTAACTCCACTTCTCTGTGCTTCAGCCTGTCACACAGAGGAGACTGCTGCCGGCCCAGCGGTGCTGAGCAAACGGGTTCAGTGCAGCAGGCACTCCATGCTCTGGGCACGGTCTTGTTCTGAGTCCCAGGTGCTCACCCTGGGTCCTTACTCGTGACTGAATTTCTGTGCATGTAGAGAAAGCCCATGTTGACATTTTCCAGCCGTGCAAACAGTATTTCAGGAAACAGCGATCTTTCCCAGGCCAGGCACTGCCTCCTCTCTGATGTCCCTCCCTCCGGCAGCCTGCTTTCACACCCAGCCTCCCCTGCCTGTCCACTGCTGTCCTGGCCCAGGTCACACCATCGCTGACTAACGAGGGGTCTCCAAAAGCCTCGCTCAAGGGTGTTTGCTCAGGTCCTCCTGACCTGGTCCCCGAGCCCTGTGCAGCCGAGCGCAGGCTCTGCAGGCCTCCCTCGCCCTGCCCCTCTGCAGCTCCCTGCCCGCCTCGCCTGGACCGCGTCACTGCCACCACAGGTCCTTCGCCCCAGATGCTCCTTCTGCCTGGAGCGTGGCTGTTCCAGCGGCCACAGCTTTAGCCCCGGCCGCCCACCCCCGGTGGACGGTGGCTTTGCTTGTCTCTGTAGTGCAGGCCAACAGCAGCCACCATGTTGGCTCGCCCTCTCGCTCGTAGCTTCCCTTGCAGAGCTGAGCATGAACACGGGGAGCGTGACACTCCAGAGGGGGCACCGGAACACGGCGCCTTCTCGGGGATCTCGGTGGAAGAATGAGCCAGCTTACCCTCCCAGAACGTGTTCTCCGACGGTCAGGAAGGGGCTCCACTGACAAGCGCACCCTGCAGCGGTGGTCTTGGCCCAGCTCTGCCCCTGCCCACCAAGGCCCGCCTGCCCAGCGGGGTGCCCAGGTCTCTCGAAGGCTGGATGCTCTGCCTGCCCGGCTCCCCTGGGCTCCCTCGGATGCCCAGTCCTTAGTGACTGCTTCGTCTTCACCCGAGAGTTTCTGCAGCACTGATCCTGCTCCATGGGCTTCTAGAACCTTCTCTGTGACATGTGTGAGCCAGAGTGTTCTGAGGAGGGAGGAATCCGTCCTGCTGAGACTGCTTGAGCTTTCAGCCCTGCCACAGCGGGCGTGAGAAGGTGCAGGCCTCAGAAGGCACTGAGTGGCGGGAAGGGAGCTCGGTTCCCTTGCTCGCCCCCCAGCGTGGCACAGGAATCTGGGTCTGACAAGCTGAGGGGTGTCGCTGAGGGCTGCCTGCACTCCTCCTCCTGCTCCCCTTCCCGGACACCAAGGTGAGCCCTCACAGCGTGGCTCTGTCCTACCTTCTTCCTCTGGCCTTCTCCTCTGCTGTCCTGATGACCAGTCACTCCGAGGGTCCACCCAGCCCTCAAGGGAATCCCTCAGCCTCCATCACACCTGAGAACCCGCTGCTGCTAGCACGTGATGTCCCAGGAGTTATGTTGGAGACACACTGGCCAGGGTAGTCCCGTGAGCAGAGCACAGCAGAAAAGCCCCTGATTGGCTTGTCAGTACACAAGGATGGAGAATGCTCTGAGACAGGAGAATGTCAGCTTGGGTTATTGTCAGGTTTGAAAAGATAAGGGACCTTAGGATAGGAGAGGGGAAGCTGGCTCTCGGAAACAGAGCTGCGGACTCAGACTGGTAATTGCACAACTGACTTTAAATAAGAAAGCGGAAACACACAAAAGAAAAATTAAACATGTCTGCTTAGAGTCACAAGGGCAACAGCAAGCATCAGCACTGGAGTTAAGCATTACCAACCACAGTGCTGGATAACTACGTGCATTTGTGCGTGTGCGTGTGTGTGTGTGTGTGTGTGCGTGTGTGCGTGTGTGTGTGTGTGTGTGTGTGTGCGTGTGCGCGCGTAAAACTTATTCTACATTAGTCCTTCAGCAAAATACTTTTTGCTAGCTTGCATCTTCTGCGTTTCTTAAAGTACTCAACTGACTTTTCTTGTCAGCTTGAGCTGGAGTGCCTGACTTGCACCCAGTGTGGTTAGTTGCCTGCCCCAGACTCACACTCGCCTTTGAGGACAGTCTTGAGTTGCTCACCTGGGAGCCTTTCTCTAGTCCAGAGGCCCTGTGTGCTCAGGACAGAGCAGAGCTGCTCTAGCTGGCCTGGCTCTGGAGCCTCGGCCTCCTCTGCCCGCCCCTGCTCTTCGTGCACACCTCTTAGCTCTCTGTGGAAACCAGTACGCCTGCTTGGGTGAGGTGTCCTGGGAAGTGTGCCCCACGCTGCTGGTTGTGGGTGAGGACTGTCAGACATGGAGAGGGGCTGGGCACGGCCAGCTGTTGCTGTACCTGGCCTCTGGGAAGGGAGCCTGACCCAACACTTACACATAGGCTGCTTTGGGCTCTAGAGAACTGAGGCAGGGTTAGAAGGCCTCTGAAGGCTGAAGTGTCTGTCACCCAAAATACTACCACCACTCAAACCCCCCCCCACACACACACAGGGGCGTGGATTTGACAGACCGACTTGCTTTGGCTTTTGCCACTGACTGGCCATATGGCCTAGTGACAGCTAGTCCTCCTGTGCACTTCAGGTTCCTCCTCATGAGCACAGACAGTGTGCACAGTAGTTCAGGGCCTGCACCAGGGGTCTGTGGAGAGCAAGACTCAGAAGGTGGGCAGGAGGTCCAGCAGGATGGAGTGCGGGGACCTGACTCCTGTGTCTGTCCCCGCCCGCCAGCACCCCGGCATCAGGTGAAATCGGAGGGACTGGTGGCTCCACCGGAGCAGCGGCGGCACGCACACATGAAACCCTCCCCCCCCCCAGGTCTGGGCGTGTTAGTGCCTGGGCTTCTGATCA